ATTATTAGGAATACTTTTAAACACAATGCAGTCAGCACCACCAACTACAACGAGCTATAAACTATAAACATAAATAAACATAAAGTAGGATCATCCCGTGTTGGAAAACATAAAAATCAAAATCAATCAAAATGTAATTTAAGGCAGAGCTGTCGTGCTGGATTCTGTTAGATTTCATAGGTAGCTATCAAAGTGACTGGTCTGTGTCCATCATTTTTGAATGATTATCATTTGGAGCAATGAGTTACAGATTACTGTGGAAAAGCAGATTCATTTTTAAGTGTTTTCAATCTTTGCATCCTGGAAAGTGTTGCATTAGAAAGCTCACATGCAAAAACCAGTGACTTAAGTTAGGTTGCACGTGCAGCCCTCGTAAAGCTGTAACACCCAGAGAAAAGCTGTGCTAAGCTAAATGTTCTTACTAAGAGACTGAAGAAAACAGCATTATTTCACAATGAGCGGCCACTTAAATGCGCATATTGAGACTGCTGAAGTGTGGTCATATGAGGGTATTTTTCCACAGCAGAGGCCCGTTTGCTTCAGTCCACGGTAATGAAAATGAACTTCATGTATTCATGAGGCGAGCAGCTCCATCTAGTGTTAATTTACGGCCAATTTACGGTCATCGAGACTTCCTATTTCACAGCAGCTTCGCAAAAATCATCAAATCACGCTGATCTGTATCGCCGTCTCATTCTCACACTCCTCTTTTTCAGTTCTGCACAATAGTCCGGAAGATCGTGTGCAGCAGAATGAGCGCCTACGTGACGGCGCTGTGTGGGGTGTGCACCATGCTGTATCTGGGCTGTGTGACGCTGCTGACAGTTTTGCCCACTCTGCTCATCTCGTTCACCATCTGGATGGCGGCCTAATGACCTCTGGTGAGGCGGCTCATGAGAAAAGACTCTGGTGGAAGCTCAAATGAAGTCCTGTGGTGAAGTTACTGTGCGGCTAAAGGCACTGGGAAACAAATACACTCACTGCAATAAAATGCCTGTGTCTTCCTTTTTAGGCTGTCGGGATTATTGTGTATTTTTTATCCATTAACTGCAACTTTTTTTTTTTTGGTTTTTGCCTTGATAGGATATTAATGTGCTCCTAATAATGATGCTGCTTTAGGCCTTTTTTGTGTCTGATTTTGTCTGTTGTTCATCAATAATGTTCACCAAATATTCAACGTTAATCTCACTGCAGCAGATTGCAAATGGATTTAGACTCGGCACAGTTACTGTTGTGTGGTAGTGTATGCATATTGCTTTTGGCTTCATTGAAAATTCAAAGAAAAGTCACAACAGATACTTTTATCTCCTTTACAATTACTAAAAACAAGCGATCAGCTGGATTCCACACTCACATAACGCTGTAGTTTAAACACTGGCTCGGACAAAGTGCAATAATTTTCTTCTTTTGTGATATAATTGTGATAAATTAGTGCTGACAGAGATGTTTGTGCTTGTCGGTCCATTAAATGTGTGTTTCTACCTTCTCCTTGCTGTGTCCTTTGTTATTTTTTGAACAGCTCTGAACTGTACTGGATAAAAACCGTCTCCATGGGGAAACACAATTGCACACAGGTTTGGACAAAAACTGCCACAAACAATCCCAGTAAGAGTTCAGTGTTTTTGCTCCTTAACACAGAGAATGTGCAGCAAGAATAGCACGTTGAACTGCACAGCCAGTAAACAAGGGGGAAACAGGAATGAATCGGATGGATGTACGAGATATTTAACGACGAATCATTTCCAGAACGTGACTCGTAAATCATGAATCCCACTTCTGGCCAAATGAAACAACTTTAAAAATGCTGTCATGATCCGAATGAGACACTTATTGGTCAGCAACGGATATCAGTAATGACAAGTCAATGAATCTTTGTTATAGTTTGTTTTGGACAATCTGTCTTTGCCTATGTAGTGGGAGCATCTGTCTGGAAAGTTTGGTATTTCCAGATGGCCCTTGAACACACCATCAGATGTAGGTCAGCTCCTCCCATTGCCCAGCCCCTGATTGAGGGTATTTAAAGCACCTGTGGCATCATGGCTGCCCTTTTGTGTCTGTTTGAGTGCCACATGGGCTGCTGGTGACTCTGAGTCTTCCTTGCGTACTGGTGTCTGATGGTTGAGGTTTATGCCAAGCTTGCCTGCCTTGGCTTAATGTGGACGTTGCTGATTTCCCTGGTATCCGTATAACAAAGACCGTTACATCAAGGGTGTTATCAGCTGCTGTTTTGCCTTTGTTTGCTCTTAGTTGCCTCTGTTTTGTCCTTGCCTGTTTTAGTTTGGCTATGTTAGCCTAGTGGTCGCATTTTAGAGTGAACGAACTGGTTTTTATGACAATTTCCGTACGCTGGTGGACCAGGTTGCCGGCTGGTGGTGGAGGTTGGACATTGTGTGGTTTTCTTTCACAGCTTGTAGTGATAAGAGCACTGGGGCACCTGATCTTACACCGGTGTGGTAGTCCTGATAGAGTGCTGTGTGCTCACGAGTGGTTGGTGGTTTGTTTCGCCTCTGGATATTTAAGTAATTGACCACCTCTCTCCCCCCGCTGGCTTCAATCCACTTTGCTCCCTCTCCAGGTTCATTTTATTCTGGTAGTGTCCTTTGTTTTAAAATAGTTTTATTGTTAAACAGAATTACATTAATTAAATAGATATCTTTGTACATTTCAAATGGTTTGATTTGTTTTTGTACTGGCTTTTAGGTTGTTTCTCCCGCAGGCACTCCAGAAATCTAGTACTAATCAACCATTCCACCAAATATTCAATAAACTGCAATTGCCTTGAATTTGAACCACGTCTCTGTCTTCCCTTAGTAAACGAACTTGTGTGACCTTTGTGACTAATTGTGGTAGTTCACATTTAACTTGTAGTTCCTGGGGTGAGAGTCCCCAGGTGGCGTTGTCGGGTTCTCTAGATACTGGTACAGCTATTACTCTCTCTCCTACGCCCCACTCCCCCCTTGGTCTAGTCCCGCCACACCTACAAAGCTTTTAGATTTATGTAAGTTCTTAATGGACTTCCTACTGAACTAAATTCGCTTTCCAGATTTAGCAGTAATGCAATATTCTTGCAGTTATGTGAAGACTCAAAAGGTCAGTATGAGGAAATATTCAGAAGTGTTTTATGAAGTGACACAACTGCTCTTTGGTAGCACTGTTGACTCGCAGCAAGAAGGGATCTTTCAGCATGGAGTTTGCATGTTCTCCCCGTGCAGCGTGGGTTCTCTCCAGGTTCTCTGGTTTCCTCTCACAGTCCAAAAACATGTTGAGGTTAATTGGTGATTCTAAATTGTCTGTAGGTGTGAGTGTGCTTGGTTGTTTGTCTCTAAGTGTAGCCCTGTGATAGACTGGTGACCTGTCCAGGGTGTCCCCAGTCAGCTGGGATAGACTCCAGCCCCCCATGACCCTAGTGAGGATTAAACGGTGTATAGATGATGGATGGATGGATTTTATGAAGTGACACAACTGCTCTTCAAAATAAAATCTGATCCTGAACAGGTGCCTTTAAAGTAAACTTTCCTGTGTCAGTAAACGTAGGATTTGGTCATAGACAATCAGTTAGAACAGGCATCCAATGGGGCAAAACAGGAGACACAAAAGTCCAATAAAGCACCCGAAGGAGCAAAACAGAAGGCTGCAGGGCACAACATAAACTATAGAACAATGACTAGTTGTTATGTAACGTGGAGTTGATGAGTTAACAATCATTCACACAATATCTATAGGTACAATTTAAATAAATAAAATCTGTCATTTGCAGGTAAAAAGGGAAATTTTCCCCGTTTTCAAGGCTGAAACTGCTTAACACACCAATTGCGTAGGAGTCAAAATTTTTGACGTGAGGACGGCCGGGAAGAGCGTAGGGAGGCCGTTCATGTCTGACAACAAAAAAAAAACATGTTTGAAAAGAGGCGATGGATTCTCACGTGGCCAGAGCTCTACATGTCAGCAACTATATCTGAGCCACTTCATGACTACCCTGTAAGTAGACCTTGAGCTAAGATTATTATGCGTAAAAACTCTGTCCAAGGCTGAGTGGGACCCTCTCAGTCGACTCTATAAATTGATCTCTGCTCATTTAAATCAAACTGTTGGCACTTAGACATGCTGTTGCTGCGCAGATGTTCTTTGCTTCACGTCCTCGCTCTCAAACTGCTTCTGTGCAAAACTTCTGCTCCAGCATTTGTGCTCTCAATCTTTGTGAAACTAAAATTCGAAACCAATTGGATGCCAGCTGTGAAGTCGAGCAATAAAATGGTCATGAAATTTGTAACTGTTTGCAACTTAGTAGCCCTGTTGCTGTACTAGAA